ATTGATATCCAGTTCTCCCAGCATCATTTGCTAAAGAGGCAGTCTCTTCCCCAGTGTATAGACTTGGTGCCTTTGTTAAAGATCAGATGGCTGCAGGTGTATGGGTTGATTTCTGAGTTCTCTATTCTATTCCATTGATCTGTGTGTCTATCTGTGTGCCAGTACCATGCTTTTTTAGTTATTATAGCTTTGTAGTATAGTTTAAAGTCAGGTAGTGTTATGCCTCCAGTTTTATTTTTTTTTGCTCACGATTGTTTTGGCTATGTGTGGTCTTTTGTTATTCCATATAAATGTCTGGATAATTTTTTCCATTTCTGAGAAAAAGGTTATTAGAATTTTGATATTGTAATTTTATGTGTCTATAAGTCCATATCAGCTCTTTTTATATTTTCCATTTCTCTTCTTATCATATTTGTATTTTCTTTAACCTTCTAGAACATATGAAATATATTTGATTAATTCTATTATCTGTAGCATTGTTGGGTCAGTTTCTATTGATTTTTCTCCTGGTTATGGTTCATGTTTATTTTTTTCTCTTCCTCCTGCTTCTTTGCATGCCTGGTGAATTTTGAATGAATGCTAGACATTTTGAATTTTTTGTTCTACATGCTGAATTTTATTGTATTTTTAAAAATACTGCTGGACTTTGTCTATCACACACTTAAGTTACTTGAAATCTGTTTAATTCTTTCAAGCCTTTTTTTGTAGGCTTTGTTAGATCAGGTTTAGAGCAACCTTTATTCTGGGGCTAATTTGGCTCCAGTATTAAGACAATATTTGATGCCCTGTGAATTAGGTGTCTTTCCACAATGGCTCATTTGAACACAGCATATTCCCAGCCCTATTCTTTTCATATGTTTTTTTCCCCCTGGCCTTAAATACACATATCTCCAGAGCTCTTTTCCTGTGCAGCTCCTTTTTCCTCAGTATTCTCCCTTCCCCCTCAAATTTTATAGACTTTGGCCTCCCCAAACTCTGAACTCTTTCTCTTCAACTCAGTGAGATTATTGGGCTCTGTTTGGGTTTCCCTTCACTATGCTATAGCTTGGAGATTCTCCAGGCAGAAAGCTGGGGCAATCACAGGGGCTTATCTTGCTCGTTTTCCTTCTCAGGAATCACTGTCCTGTGCTGCCTGTTGCCTAATGACTGAAAATGATTGCTTCATCCATTTTGTTTTTCCAGTTTTCCAAGGAGGAAATAAGCCTATTCCTTGTCAGTCCCTCTTGGCAAGAAGCAAAAAATTTCATCCCAACCTTTAAATTTATTGAAACTAAATTTGGATTTAAATTAGCATGACTTTTATTTTTGTGTTTTTCCGTTTGGTCAGATATCTACCCAGACTGTGTCTTAGTAAGTTAAAAGGGAGAACAGAAATTGTTGGTTAGGCTGTCTAGTGTTTTAGTATTCTTTTTCTCCTTTATAGTTATGTTGTTTCTCTTGGAGTCATGAAGGACACGTATATACAGCATGCAAGCTACTAAAAACACAAATGGAAGCCATGTCAAAGTTCACATCTAAACTCCTTACAGCAGTGCAACAGGACTAAGCTGGAGAATGGTCTTCTCAAGAATAAACTTATTTCTGTATATAGGGACATGGCAAAGGTGATATCCTTGTGTATGACAAAGTTTAAAATTGTTTCGAAATACTACTGTGTTGTTGTACAGGTAACAAAACATGGTCACCACTACAGTTAGTGCATTTAAGGAATAACCATACTTGGTTCATTTACTTGATTTAATCTTAAAAATCACAATTTCTTCATTAGCAGTGTGCAGCAAGAAGACCCAAATGAAGAGCTTTTGAAAGATGAGGTCATTCTGAAGTTGAAAGCAGAAGTGCAGCGTTTGCTGGGGAGCAACTCAGCAAAGCGTCATCTGGTATTTCAGTTACAAAATGAGCTCAAAGGCTGTCATAAAAAAATTGAGGATCTCCAAGTGAAGAAGGATGAGAACAGCATTGAAGTCGAGGTTTGTAGAGCCTGTAGAGTTAAAAAGACATTTAAAAAAGGCTTAATAAAGAAAACTTTTACACTTCTTACATTTAAATCAAACCTCTGGCTTTCAGGAGTCCATTTGACTTTTTAAAGAAGTTTAAAGAAGGAAATTCCATTTAAAGGAATATGTTTTCTGGTTACTCTTAGCACCTAGTAAATGAGAAGCCAATTAGGTAACATTCCTTTACCACAAACACAAGGAAGCATTCTATTTAACAAGATATCCACATTTCTTCAAGATTGGCTTGTACCAACAGTGCTCTAAAATCTAGTTAAAATAAATCCTGCACAATGAAATCCTCTAGCATTTTGTCTCTGAGATTTTTCTGGCCCATGTTCTTATAAAAAAGTAATTCTATATCAGGATATTAATTATGTAGTGGTGTGGTACAGATGGGAAAGGCACAGAATCAGGTTATGTCAGTCATTGGAATCCACGTCTATATTCTTCAGTTAGTCTCCTTTCTTTATAGATAATGAAAATGAAACTGGAGGAGTATGTGACCCTTTTGAGGTTACAGAGTCAATCTTAGGCAAATTAAAACTAAAACACATGACTAACAACTAGGTCGAGGATATTTCCATAAGAACATACTATCACAGAAATTTTTAGGGCTGCCCTCCTATAACAGCTGCTTTTTTACCCTTCCGTATTTCACAAATCTTTACCCATCTGTACTCCCAATAGAAAATAATATGTAAAAGACTTAATAACTGAAAAAGAAAGGGAAGGGGGAAAAGGGATATAGGTAGTATACTTCCTTTCCTTTTGCATGGAAATAATTTTTTATTTCCTACTTTAGTGCTGTTTTATCTCCTGATCCTTTTTTTTTTTTTTCCTTTTTGTCTTTTTTCGTGTCCGGCAACGGATTGCAACCCTCAGTGTCGCGCCCGCCCCGGACCGGGACCGGCAACGGGATCGCAACCCTCGGTATTGCTCCCGCACCTTGCTCAGCCAGTGAGCGGGAACCGGTCTGTATGTGGGATCCGAACCCTCGGCGGGAGCACCACCACACTCCCAAGTGGCGCACTGTAGCAGTGCGCCCCCGGGCCGGCCCCTCTCCTGATCCTTTAAACTAGGAGTAATAATTTTTTATTTCCTTCTTTAGTGCTGTTTTATCTCCTGATCCTTTTTTTTTTTTTCCTTTTTGTCTTTTTTCGTGTCCGGCAATGGATTGCAACCCTCAGTGTCGCGCCCGCCCCGGACCGGGACCGGCAACGGGATCGCAACCCTCGGTATTGCTCCCGCACCTTGCTCAGCCAGTGAGCGGGAACCGGTCTGTATGTGGGATCCGAACCCTCGGCGGGAGCACCACCACACTCCCAAGTGGCGCACTGTAGCAGTGCGCCACCGGGCCGGCCCCTCTCCTGATCCTTTAAACTAGGAGTTATGTTCATTAAAACAGTCCTATTAAAGCAAAGTATGTAAGATGTTCTACAGTGCTAATTATTATGGAATTTTAATTGTGGCTAGTATATTTTGCAGAAGTAATAGTGTGTTTTTACTGTCAAAATCCTGCCTAGTGGGCCGAGCCCGTGGCGCACTCAGGAGAGTGCGGCGCTGGGAGCGCAGCAGCGCTCCTGCCGCGGGTTTGGATCCTATATAGGGATGACCGGTGCGCTCACAGCACTCACTGGCTGAGTCTCAAAAAGGACAAAAAAAAAAAAAAATCCTGACCAGCCTGATTCCCTTGTGTGAGTAACCATACATTTGATAAGTCCAACATAGATTTTAATGTTAACAACAAACGAGAAATAGCAACACACTCCCACCCCCCAGTACATTTAACATCTTTTTTTTTTTTTTCCCTTTTTGTCTTTTTTCGTGTCCGGCAACGGATCGCAACCCTCAGTGTCACGCCCGTACCGGACCAGGACTGGCAACGGGATCACAAACCTCGGTGCTGTGCCCGCACCTCGCTCAGCCAGTGAGCGGGAACTGGTCTGTATGTGGGATCCGAACCCTCGGCGGGAGCGACACCATGCTCCCAAGCGGCACACTGTAGCAGTGCGCCACCAGGCCGGCCCTACATTTAACATCTTTAAATCAAGCTATTTTAATTGTTGCCATGTGCTTTTTTTTTAAAGGATAGGAATGAAAGCTTGTGTCTCAAGTTGTGTTAGGAGATTAGAGTTGATTAGCTTAAGCATTTTGGTGAGAGTAGCCTAAAATGTAGACTAGGAACCCAATTTTGAGTCTGCACCTTAGCTCAGGTATCTTGGTGTTTTCTTTGTTCTATATTGAAGTTACTAATGGCATTTGCTAAAAGATACATTTTTCTCATATGTGGCAGTTGATAGTGGCTGTGCTCTGTGTTGTTTTTTTAGCTTTTCCCTTTGCCTCTATAGTCTCGTTGAGTAATAGATCGAAGGAAGCTACCTCATCTTCAAATACTCTTTTTTTTTTTTTTTTCCTTTTTTTTGTCTTTTTTCGTGTCCGGCAACGGATCACAACCCTCAGTGTCGCACCCGTACCGGACCAGGACCGGCAACGGGATCGCAACCCTCGGTGCCGCGCCCGCACCTCACTCAGCCAGTGAGCGGGAACCGGTCTGTATGTGGGATCCGAACCCTCGGCGGGAGCGCCGCCAAGCTCCCAAGCGGCGCACTGTAGCAGTGCGCCACCAGGCCGGCCCCTTCAAATACTCTTTTTGTCCAGCTACTCTTTTGCCCTAGTAATTTCTGAGTAGTCTACATCTAAACTCTGATTTTTCTGAAGTGTTACTTCAGCCCTTCCTGTTTATGTCTGTTCTGCTTTACCTTACTATATAAGGATTTCCTGGGAATACTGTCTTGATAATTCCCTGCATATTTGCCCAGTAAATATTTGTAAAATTAATACACATATTGATTCACATCCTAGATGGGGGAAAGGGAGAGGAAGTAGTAACTTAACCAACAGTTTTTTTTTTTTTTTTAAACACTCAAGGTTATAGTCATTTATTTATTTTTTTATTTTTTTCCTTTTTGTCTTTTTTTGTGTCCGGCAACGGATCGCAACCCTCAGTGTCACGCCCGTACCGGACTGGGACCGGCAATGGGATCGCAACCCTCAGTGTTGCTCCCACACCTCGCTCAGCCAGTGAGTGGGAAGCGGTCTGTATGTGGGATCCGAGCCCTCGGCAGGAGTGCCACCGTGCTCTCAAGCGGCACACTGTAGCAGTGCGCCACTGGGCCGGCCACTACATAGAATTTTTAAATGCACATGTTTTGAAACCATGCTTACTGGTAAATTGCCTTCACTTAAGTATGGTATATTTTGACTACTGTAAATAGCTTCAAATCTGTAAAATGACAGATAACATGTACCTTTAGTGCTGATTGTTTCTTTCTTCTTCAAAACATCGTTAAGAAAGTATACAGGCAAGCAGTAGGTAGGGAGAAAAACCGGCCCAAGGTCATAGTCATTTAATTAGCCTGTGAACACTTTCCAACTTTGCTTTTGCTTCTTATTTCCCTCATCTTTTCTGATGGAGTGTCCTATTTGGTCTGTAAAGTTCAAAAGCATGGTTGGGAGGTATGTGGAGGAAGAGCAAATCATTCTTTTTTTTTTTTTTAATTACTCTGAGGTCTTGTGCGACTCAAGGATAAAAGAAACAATGGCCATTCCTTGAAGGAGCTTAGCATCTAAAACATTGCTATCAAATAGAAATATAATTTCTATTAATTTAAAATTACTAATTAAAATTCTAATTTAAAATTTAGCATTAATTAAAAATGTTCTAGTAGTCTCATTAAAGTAGAAGTAATAGTGAAATTAATTTTAATAATATATTTTATTTAACCCAGTATATGCAAAGTATTATCAACTCAATATGTAATTAATATAAAAATAAGTAGTGAGATGGATTGAATTTTTTGTGTGTGCTAAGTCTTTGAAATCTGGCATGTATTTTATACTTGCAGCACATTTCAGTTTAGCCACATTTCAAGTGCTGAATGACAGTAAGTGGCTAATGAGCTACATATTTAGCTGTATAGATCTATAAGGAAATGGGCATCTATAATTTTGTGTAACATGGATGATACTATTTTGAACAAAGTACTTTGAGAAGAGATAATTAACTAGGTTTGGCAGTGAGGGTAGAATGGTAAGGTGGCCTTAGTGAAGTCTTTAAGGAAGGAACATTTGATCTTTGTTCTGAAGGACAAATCCAGGAGAGAAGGTAGGGAAGGACATTGCAGCTTGAGCAGAAGTTCATATATAAAAGGATGAAGAAAATAAGCTGGTATGTCTAGAGAGAAGGGCATGTGAATAAAAGTCTATGTTATACAAGCTAACCCTTTCTGAAATCTTTATGGAGGCTGAAACAATTTAGATGTCTCAGTGTCTATTTTTACAATGAATTATAGCTGTCATCACATCCTGAGGTTAGTGAAATGACATTGAACTTCTCTGCTTGCTACAGGGAAATTTACTAAGAGAGAGAGCACATCAGTTTAAACTTCCCTGGATATCTTTTTATTTTTGGCAGCTGTCCAGTACATGGATCTGAACCCTTGACCTTGGTGTTATAACACTGGGTATATTTTTAAAAAGAACTAGGCCATCAAAATTTTCCCCTGCGTATTTCTAAGCATACTTTTTAAGTACAGAGGCCAGCAAACATATTTACTATGTAGTTTATTTGGCATGTTTCTTTTATGAATGCTTTAAAGATACTGATATATTTATTGCTTTATACATACTTTGTAGTACATTTTATATTCATTTATATCCATCTTATATGGAACAATTTAAAATTATTTCAGAGAGTTAGAGTTTTTTGCTTTCATGTTATATGACTGTTCATAGCAGTGGTTTATTTAAAGCTGAATTCTTGCTCAAGAACCCTATAACTATTATAAAATTGTTTATGTATAAAACCAGAATATGTTGCTTCATGCCATTTCCAGGATAATATGTGATGAAAATTAGGAGACTGCCCGTACATAGCACTATGCACTATGCGGGAGTTGATGAAATATTATGCCATTCATTCTGATTGACCAAATGGGTCATTATGGTAGAATGTGGTAAAGGCCTTAGGAAAACCAGACAGGCTTACTAGCAGTCAGGGCCCACATCTGCACTGAACTTTTTATGAATATAATAAAATAATTTTTATGAGCATATTAAATACATAAAGCCTTTTTGTGTCTAGTATTCAATAAAGATTGTTACCTTACTGCAAGTTGTGGTTAAAGCTGTAGTCTGATCCCAAAAGCACTCAATAGGTAGTGTTCAATAGTCAACTCAGAAGGTTTTTAGCTAGAATCTTTTTAGACATAGAAATTAGGAAGATAGTATGAGAGTTGGCATATTAAGTTTCTTGTTTTCTTGAAGATAATGTATTCGGTATTCCACCTTTAGAAAGAAATTTTGTTGTGACATTCAAGTAGTCCATTTCTTTTTGAAGATCTTCATAAAGGTACTGTGCTGACAGGTATAGGTAACTCAGTCCCTGTGTGCCTACAGTGTGATCGGTCAAAACTGAGTATAAAATCTAGCCATGAAGAGTTTTTCAGTATGTTAGTACCATGTTACTTTCAGTTCCATCAATAAAAACTCACTAGTCTGGAAAGAAGCATAAGTGAATATCATAAACTTTAAAAAGCAGAGACCAAGTTACAAAAAAATGAAAGCCATTCTAGCGAATCTTTTGACCGGTAAGGGGATCGCAACCCTCAGCACGGTGTGGTCTGCACCACGCTCAGCCAGTGAGCGCACCAGCCATCCCTATATAGGATCTGATCCTGTGGCCTCGGTGCTCCCAGCGCCACACTCTCCCGAGTGAGCCACGGGGCTGGCCCAGTAAAATTCTTAATGTTCTCATTAGTACCCACCTCCATCTGGAAAGAAGCTAACAGAGTATGTATTCTTAGCTCTTCTTTCTTATACCTGGGGTGGTAGAAATAGTTTCTGGGAAAAGATGGCAAATGGAAAGGGAGAACTCAAAACTGGAGCTATCTCCCTCAGAAGGAAGTGAAGACTCTTGCTCTACACTGAATTGGAAGACTGATCCAAAGCCTTGTTGTTCTGTCACCCTACATGGGAATGAGATATAGATGCCTCCCCCTCTCCCAATGAGTACAATGAACCTTAATAGAGGATATTTTCTAAACATTGTAGAAGAGAGCTCAGAGTCCACATACCATCATAAACCAACAAGACAAATAGAGTAGATGTATTTTTAAAATCTTTGTGAACACCCCTCAATGAATAAAGAACTCATAAAAGTAGATAAGGAAAACACTCAGATTGTAAGAGGAAAATGTACAAAGTTAAACAAATGGAGAAGTCTGGGAAGATGAAAAAACTAATGAACAGTAAAGTAAGAGGTTCCACTCCAGTGGCAACACAAGAAATGCAGATGAGAGCAATTGTTTGATACCCTTTTCCCATCAAATACAATGATTATTTAAAGATACTCACTGCCATTGGATGTGAAGAGAGTTGGACAGATTCGTGTACTGCCTGACAATATACATTTGTATGACCTTTCTGGAAAGCAATTTGCCAAGTTTTATCATGAGTCTTAAAATTTGTACCTATTGAATAAAATATATATCCATGAGTTAACACTGATATAAATAAATTATACAGAAGTAGAATAAATGCTGATCTTAGTGGACGAAAGTATGATGAGAAATAGGATAGTTTCAAAGTATCTTCTCATAAGATACTAATTACAAGTCAAAAAATAGTAAATTTGGGCCGGCCCGGTGGCGCACTGCTACAGTGCGCCGCTTGGGAGCGCGGTGGCGCTACCGCCGAGGGTTCGGATCCCACGTACAGACCGG